TTATATTTACGAGGAAGTACTAAACTTTTAGAGATCAGAGGTAATGAGGTTTGATCCGAGGAAGGGGAGGATAGCTTAAATTCACTTGGTCAAGAATCCTTTAACAGCATCAAGGAAGAATATTAACACTTGATTGACGTTCATTTATTGCAAAAGTTACTTATACAATTCTTCTGTTTTGTTTATCATTGTCTGAGTTTGGTAGTCATTTTTTTCCTGTTGTGACCAAAGGTCTGTTGACGAGTGATTTTAATTTCCGTTGTGAGTTTACTAGTGGAGTAGGGAATACCATTGTGCCCGTCAGTGGTAATTCCTTTATAGATGTTGTCACTAACACAGCCGAAGTTAGTTTATCTTTTGTTTTGCTATACACTTTTATGTTAGATTAACTGATCTCCTCGGTTATGTAGGGAACTAGTGTATCTGCTGTTGTGCTTTACACTAATATTTTAGACTGGTGAGTCCTCTGGGTTGTATAGGGACGTCGTGTATCTGTGTTACGACTTTCATGCCCTAACTTAAATAAAATGTTCCTGGCTGCTAGAGGCTGCTCACACTGCTGTCTAGGGGTTATAAAATTACTCTTAAAACACAGCGAACCTTGGACCAGCATGTACTCGTATATTAAATAATATTAATTATTATTAGGAAGGAAGGAAGGACAAAAACTCCCCTATATAAAATATATATAATAACTTATGTACAACTTACAATCTACTCCAAGAAAACCACCACACTACAGTTCACATTAACTCACTAGCACACTGCTACAAATGAGTTAAACAAAATAAATGAACATTTATGAACAGGGAGGCTCCGTGACCCCCCCCCCTTTCTGAAGGCTACTTAGCCTACATTATTATTATTATAATCAAGGGGGAAGCGCTAAACCCGGAGGATTATACAGCGCCTGGGGGGGGGATGTGGAAGGCATTCAGGCTTAATTCGGGGAACTGGAGCACAGATCTAATTCCCTAAATCAAGAGCCCCTCACCAACATCAAGGAACCTTCCTTGAGGGGTACTTAGCCTACAGTGGAAACGTTAAATACTCTCATAAACAGGCCCCTGCATACTGGGGCTTTACAAATAAACATGAGAGCACTTAAAGATATTTGCTGTTTTGGGGAACATCTGAACTGCCATATATGGTGAAAGTTTCTTTTTTGGGTTGCCCTGCCTTGGTGGGAGACTGCCAGTGTGTTAAAAAAAATATATACTGTATTTAGGGGAAAGCGTTAAACCCACAGAGTATTGCAGCGAGTGGGGAATGGGAGTTAATTGGGTTTAATCCAAAGAGAAGGTTAAGTTCATCTCCTCGGATCAAGAGCCCCTCACCAGCATCAAGAAGCCTTCCTTAAGGGGTTCTAATCTTCTATGCACTTAACTTGAGAATGCAACTGCTGAGATATTTCAAGACTAAAGGGTGCTTATGTATTCTGGGATATTGGTCTTTCTGTGATAATTAAATACATGTAATGCTTTTCCTAAGCAATATTTTTATTATTATTATTATTATAATCAAAGGGGAAGTGCTAAACCCGTAGGATTATACAGCACCTGGGGGGGTGATATGGAAGGCATTCAGGCTTAATTCGGGGAACTGGAGCACAGATCCAATTCACTAAATCAAGAGCCCCTCACCAACATCAAGGAACCTTCCATGAGGGGTTCCTAAGCTACAGCTCTTGGGTCTCCTGAGATTATCGAGCTGAGGTTCCTGGGCCTCCTAAGGGTGTTGAACTACAGCTCCTGGGCCTTCTGAAGGGGTTCAGCAATAGCCTGACTGGCCAAAGACTGAGCAACCACTGGTGGACTGAGAATCAAGCCTCCATCAATCCTTCAGCTGAGTGTCAGCTATCTTGGATACTATATATCTCACAGTCATAAGGAGCATCCCCCAGGCCAGAGTCCTGTGATTTCAAAGTTTGCCCACACTGATGTGAAGACTCATTACCCAATTAACCCAAAATATAGCACCCAACCATCTAAGACCTGATGACCCCTATGAAAATCCTACGTTGGTGGTAGCAGTTAGCCTGACTCTCAAGTATTCTGAGAAGCTGTCAATGCCCCATCCACTACTCCTACTGAAAAATATTATTATTATAACCAGAACTAAGCACTAAACCCACAAGGGTCATACAGCTCTCCTACTGAAAAGTACCTGTTGAAACTACTTGGTGGGTTATAGGTGACAAGCTCTCTCCTCACCCTCTGAGACAGTGTTAATAGGAGTAGGGAAGGTGTTGGGAAAAAGAAGGATAAGTGGCTGGATTATGTATTGGTAGATAAAAGACTGTTGAGTAGACTTCAGGATGTACATGTTTATAGAGGGGCCACAGATATATCAGATCACTTTTTAGTTGTAGCTACACTGAGAGTAAAAGGTAGATGGGATACAAGGAGAATAGAAGCATCAGGGAAGAGAGAGGTGAAGGTTTATAAACTAAAAGAGGAGGCAGTTAGGGTAAGATATAAACAACTATTGGAGGATAGATGGGCTAATGAGAGCATAGGCAATGGGGTCGAAGAGGTATGGGGTAGGTTTAAAAATGTAGTGTTAGAGTGTTCAGCAGAAGTTTGTGGTTACAGGAAAGTGTGTGCGGGAGGGAAGAGGAGCGATTGGTGGAATGATGATGTAAAGAGAGTAGCAAGGGAGAAAAAGTTAGTTTTTACAAAGTAGAAGTGATGCAAGGAGGGAAGAGTATATGGAGAAAAAGAGAGAGGTTAAGAGAGTGGTGAAGCAATGTAAAAAGAGAGCAAATGAGAGAGTGGGTGAGATGTTATCAACAAATTTTGTTGAAAATAAGAAAAAGTTTTGGAGTGAGATTAACAAGTTAAGGAAGCCTTGAGAACAAATGGATTTGTCAGTTAAAAATAGGAGAGGAGAGTTATTAAATGGAGAGTTAGAGGTATTGGGAAGATGGAAGGAATATTTTGAGGAATTGTTAAATGTTGATGAAGATAGGGAAGCTGTGATTTCGTGTATAGGGCAAGGAGGAATAACATCTTGTAGGAGTGAGGAAGAGCCAGTTGAGTGTGGGGGAAGTTCGTGAGGCAGTAGGTAAAATGAAAGGGGGTAAGGCAGCTGGGATTGATGGGATAAAGATAGAAATGTTAAATGCAGGTGGGGATATAGTTTTGGAGTGGTTGGTGCAATTATTCAATAAATGTATGGAAGAGGGTAAGGTACCTAGGGATTGGCAGAGAGCATGCACAGTTCCTTTGTATAAAGGCAAAGGGGACAAAAGAGAGTGCAAAAATTATAGGGGGATAAGTCTGTTGAGTATACCTGGTAAAGTGTATGGTAGAGTTATTATTGAAAGAATTAAGAGTAAGACGGAGAACAGGATAGCAGATGAACAAGGAGGCTTTAGGAAAGGTAGGGGGTGTGTGGACCAGGTGTTTACAGTGAAACATATAAGTGAACAGTATTTAGATAAGGCTAAAGAGGTTTTTGTGGCATTTATGGATTTGGAAAAGGCGTATGACAGGGTGGATGGGGGCAATGTGGCAGATGTTGCAGATGTATGGTCTAGGAGGTAGGTTACTGAAAGCAGTGAAGAGTTTTTACGAGGATAGTGAGGCTCAAGTTAGAGTATGTAGGAAAGAGGGAGATTATTTCCCAGTAAAAGTAGGCCTTAGACAAGGATGTGTGATGTCACCGTGGTTGTTTAATATATTTATAGATGGGGTTGTAAGAGAAGTAAATGCGAGGGTCTTGGCAAGAGGCGTGGAGTTAAAAGATAAAGAATCACACATAAAGTGGGAGTTGTCACAGTTGCTCTTTCCTGATGACACTGTGCTCTTGGGAGATTCTAAAGAGAAGCTGCAGAGGTTGGTGGATGAATTTGGTAGGGGATGCAAAAGAAGAAAACTAAAAGTGAATACAGGAAAGAGTAAGGTTATGAGGATAACAAAAAGATTAGGTGATGAAAGATTGGATATCAGATTGGAGGGAGAGAATATGGAGGAGGTGAATGTATTCAGATATTTGGGAGTGGACATGTCAGCAGATGGGTCTATGAAAGATGAGGTGAATCATAGAATTGATGAGGGGAAAAGGGTGAGCAATGCACTTAGGAATCTGTGGAGACAAAGAACTTTGTCCTTGGAGGCAGAGGGGAATGCATGGGAGTATAGTTTTACCAATGCTTTTATATGGGTGTGAAGCATGGGTGATGAATGTTGCAGCGAGGAGAAGGCTGGAGGCAGTGGAGATGTCATGTCTGAGGGCAATGTGTGGTGTGAATATAATGCAGAGAATTCGTAGTTTGGAAGTTAGGAGGAGGTGCGGGATTACCAAAACTGTTGTCCAGAGGGCTGAGGAAGGGTTGTTGAGGTGGTTCGGACATGGAGAGAGAATGGAGCGAAACAGAATGGCTTCAAGAGTGTATCAGTCTGTAGTGGAAGGAAGGCGGGGTAGGGGTCAGCCTAGGAAAGGTTGGAGGGAGGGGGTAAAGGAGGTTTTGTGTGCGAGGGGCTTGGACTTCCAGCAGGCATGCTTGAGCGTTTTGATATTAGGGAATGGAGACAAATGGTTTTTAATACTTGACGTGCTGTTGGAGTGTGAGCAAAGTAACATTTATGAAGGGGTTCAGGGAAACCGGCAGGCCGGACTTGAGTCCTGGAGATGGGAAGTACAGTGCCTGCACTCTGAAGGAGGGGTGTTAATGTTGCAGTTTAAAAACTGTAGTGTAAAGCACCCTTCTGGCAAGACAGTGATGGAGTGAATGATGGTGAAAGTTTTTCTTTTTCGGGCCACCCTGCCTTGGTGGGAATCGGCCAGTGTGATAATAAAAAAAAAAAGTGGCTGTAGAGTAGGAGCAGAGGAGTGAGGAAAGAAAAGCGTGGACAAAGTAAGGAATTGTGGGAGGTTGAGAGTGGAAAATAAGAGGAGAGCGAGTCATTATCACAAGCTTTGTAATTTTCATATTCTGTAGGATCCCATACATAATAAAAGGTAATATAAACTCTCAAGTCATAAAAAGTACATTTACTCAAATATCTTTCATGATCATGTATTCATATTTTTATAGTACTCTGTACACAGTGAATAAAATGTCCTTAACAAAACACATTGTTTGGTACCATTTAAAAACCATAATATAGAACAAAACTTTTTAAATAAATTACAGTTAACAAACAAAATTCTAAAGATGAAGACAAATTTTTTCTTATAATAACTGAATTTTTGTCTCAATTTTTGTATTTATATAATTCCCTACCCAAAAAATTTTGGTTGCAATATAATATTTACAATTTATTTTCCTTTCAAGGAAGGGGGTGCCATGATGTCAATGAAGGGCTCTTGATCAAAGGAATTGGAACTACCCTCCTTTTCCTTTTATCAAACCTGGTTACATCACATCATCTTCTCCAAGTGCTGTACTGCACCCATGGATATAGCACTTTCCCATTTAAGAAATAATAATAATAATAATAATAATAATAATAATAATAATAATAATAATAAAACATTTTATTTCAGTCATGCTAAAACGCATCTACTTTCGGGGATTTGCATTGTTTGTTGCTGGAGTGGCAGCCATTCTCTTCTTCAGTGACGGTCGATCATATACCTGCTTCATGCCGCCAGCGTTGGCATTGAAGAACTTATGGTTCATCTGAGAATCTGAAGCCCATGGGGAGTCAAAGGAGGTTGTATCTTGGTCCACCAGGTGAGTGTACTTAGTGCGTCCTGAGCGTCCAAAGTTCTTCACTTGCATCACCTGTATGAGAGTAAATAAATATCTGTAGAGATGAATAAGATACATGTGTAATGCTTGTGTATCTTTATTGCTGAAATTTTCTGCATGCACAGCAGGCTTCTGCAGTCAAATACAGGAAGAAACAGAAAAAGTATTTTTGAGGTAATCAGTCCCTCAGCCTTAATAGGGGGTGGTCAGTCCTTCAAGCTTGGCACTGTATGACCCCTATTAGTTTAGTGCTTCCCCATGAATGTAAGAATATACTTCTTATGCCCTGGACTGTCACTAATATCAAAGATATAAGAGAAAATGTAGCATAAACTCAATGAAAGGCAGGGGTGCATGCACAGTGATGAACACTGTCAACATCACTGGTCAAGGCTGTTAAACTTTCTGTCAGAACAAAGTAAGTTTTCAAGAGGAAACTGAACCACTATTTGCAAACAACTGTGATAATTATATAATCCTGTGGGGCACTGGAAGCAAGTCAAGTTGATTAGGTAATCAAGGAAATCTGATTTCAGACTGGGTTGTAAGGATAAATTTTTTTTTTTTTTTAACAATGACAGGCACTAAACCCGTGTGGGTCACGAAGCACAAGATGTGGTGGAGGGTTGATCCTCCATTTCAGTGTGAGACAGACACACTTCCTATTTGTACTTGCCTAGTTCTGTGAGGATAGAAGAATCCTCAAAACCAGTTACAAGCACCCATCTCCCTATTATAAATAAGCATATTTCTGTATAGTTAATGCAAATGATTTGTTGAGATTGCAGATTAAGTGACTAATCAATGGATTCAACACATCCCACATTGTATACTAGAATGTAGCCTGCACAACATTTTCACAAATCAGTCTCTTTCTGTATTTCGCTTTCTGCAAATTACTCTCCCAAAAACCAGGACTAGTTTGATACCTTATCAGTGCATACAATCATTCATACTGTAATGCTATGTCTTTCATATGAGTAGAACCATTTTATGTGAACGTAACTCCCTATAAACTTAAGGAAGATAGTCAAAGTAAAATAGAGAATACAGTACAAAAGACACAAGTAGTTACTAAAAATAAGAAAATATGTGAGAAAGTAATTTGCTTACCTTGGGCAAAATAGTCTTGTCAAAGTGATCTTCCAGCGTTGCACCGGAGAAATCCCTCTTGAACACTTCCTCTTCTTGATCCAAGAAGAAAGCACCTCTGTGGTAGTACTTCTGCAAGAATTTATACTTGCCTTTCTGGGCCTTATTGGTGATGACCTAGGGAAAAATTAAGACATTAAATTACGAATGAAGAAATATTAAGGTTAAATGAAGCAAACAAAATGAATGGCCCATCATATAAGGATCAAAGTGCTTTTTGTTGTTATAAATTCTGATGACTCAGTACTGATGGCAGACTGTAATAAAGAAATAAAAAAAAAATAGCAAATGACTTATACACAATATGTAATCAAAGAAAGTTATATGTGTAATATACCCTGGTAAGAATAAGTCATCTGTTTATGAAATTGCTCAAATGAAATGGTGGGTTTTGCTTTCCTTTAAGGAGCAGACAAAATGTGATGTTACCTAATATGAAATGGGTAGGCAAAATTAAAAGTAGTTAAGTAATGCAAATGTTAGGCATCAGTACTACAAACAGAAAAAAGGAGCAAGACATAAGGATAGTGCAAGAAGAAGAATGAGTGGGTCCCTAAAAAGAATAAAAATATAATTTGGGATTTTATTATTCTTGAGCATCTGTTTTTCCTGGAAATTCACAAGCTCACACATCAAGCCATGAATGCTATAACAAAAACAATGAAGAAATACTAAAGTTTATGTGGGAAACGACACTTACGTACAGTTCAGGACATTTATTAGAGGCAATCTTTCACCACAAGTGGCTTCTTAGGACTGAAGAAGCCACTCCTGGAAAAACATTTCTTCGAATAAATGTCCTGGATGTACATAAAGTGTCTTTTTCCACATCTTGTAGGTACTGCAATACCATTTTTTTTTACTAAAGTTTATACTCAAGAGTGACTGTATGATGATGATCATCATAAGTTCTAGAAACAAGATGTGTTTTCAACCGAGACTTAAAAGAATGAACAAATTCCTGACTCTTAACAGACACTGGCAATCCGTTGAACAAGCTAGGCGCTACATACAAAAAAGATAATTCTATAAATAATTTCTCTAACAGCACAAGCCTCAATAAGATCTTCGTTTACAAACCTTTGGATTATTTCGAAGCTCAATTCTTCTTTCTTCTTCTCCCATAGTTCTCAATTTTTCAACTTCTTCGTGCTCCTTCTCAGCTGCATCACGTTCCTCCTAAATATTTAAAGATGTATCAAGTGAGAGTTTCAAATTTTGTAAAATACAATATATGTTACAGGTTTGTGTAAGCATGATATACAGTGGACCCCCGGTTAACGATATTTTTTCACTCTAGAAGTATGTTCAGGTGCCAGTACTGACCGAATTTGTTCCCATAAGGAATATTGTGAAGTAGATTAGTCCATTTCAGACCCCCAAACATACACGTACAAATGCACTTACATAAATACACTTACATAATTGGTCGCATTCGGAGGTAATCGTTATGCGGGGGTCCACTGTATAAGAGTGAGTAGACACAAGTGGCATTTACGATTTGATGTGGTATTAGAGTGTGAGCAAGATAATATTTATGAAGGGATTCAGGAAAACCTGAATACAGTCCTGGAAGTGAGAAGTATAGCGCCTGCATTCTGAAGGAGGGGTGGGGATGCTATAGTCTTGGAGGTGGGAAGTACAGTGTTTGCACTCTGAAGGAGGGGTGGGGATGTTACAGTCCTGGAGGTGAGCAGTACAGTACCTGCACTCTGAAGGAGGGGTAGGGATGTGACAGTCCTGGAGGTGAGAAGTACAGTGCCTGCACTCTGAAGGAGGGGTGGGGATGTTACAGTCCTGGAGGTGGGAAGTACAGTACCTGCACTCTGAAGGAGGAGTGGGGATGTTACAGTCCTGGAGGTGGGAAAGTACAGTATCTGCACTCTGAAGGATGGGTGAGGATGTTACAGTCCTGGAGGTGGGAAAGTACAGTACCTGCACTCTGAAGGATGGGTGAGGATGTTACAGTCCTGGAGGTGGGAAGTACAGTACCTGTACTCTGAAGGATGGGTGAGGATGTTACAGTCCTGGAGGTAGGAAAGTACAGTACCTACACTCTGAAGGATGGGTGAGGATGTTACAGTCCTGGAGGTGGGAAAGTACAGTACCTGCACTCTGAAGGAGGGGTGGGGATGTTACAGTCCTGGAGGTGGGAAGTACAGTACCTGCACTCTGAAGGAGGGGTGGGGATGTTACAGTCCTGGAGGTGGGAAGTACAGTACCTGCACTCTGAAGGAGGGGTGGGGATGTTACAGTCCTGGAGGTGGGAAGTACAGTACCTGCACTCTGAAGGATGGGTGAGGATGTTACAGTCCTGGAGGTGGGAAGTACACTACCTGTACTCTGAAGGAGGGGTGAGGATGTTACAGTCCTGGAGGTGGGAAGTACAATACCTGCACTCTGAAGGATGGGTGAGGATGTTACAGTCCTGGAGGTGGGAAGTACACTACCTGTACTCTGAAGGAGGGGTGAGGATGTTACAGTCCTGGAGGTGGGAAGTACAGTACCTGTACTCTGAAGGATGGGTGAGGATGTTACAGTCCTGGAGGTGGGAAGTACAGTACCTGTACTCTGAAGGAGGGGTGAGGGTGTTAGCAGTTTGGAGAGTTATTTGAACCATGTTAGCACTCTTCTGGTAAGACAATGATTGAAAGAATGACAGTGAAAGTGTTTTCTTCTTTGTCAGATCACCCTACCTCAGTAGGAGAACCCCGGTGTTAAAAAAAAAAATCAATAAAATAATACAGTAATGTAGGGTCTCTGCCATATTTCAAAATGCAGAAAAAGCTTGATTTAATAGACTTTGATTTAACAGATTACAGAAATAATGGACAAAATCTACCAGATACATTGATTGTGGACACAGTCCAGTACTTTGGTTACAGAACTGACTGTCAGTGTTACAATCCATTATCTATTATTATTATGACCATGGCAATACAAATATTATTATTATGAAAATGGGAATACAATTATTATTATTATTATTATGACCATGACAATACAAATATTATTCAGATTTACCAGATAATTAATGAGTCATTCAATAATTTTTCAAAGCAATTCATGAAAAAGCTGAAAAAATATTCTAAACTGGAAAAATCGGGGAACAAGACATTGAGCAACAACATAGACTGAATATTTTTTTTTAACACTGGCTGTTTCCCACCAAGGTAGGATGACCTGAAAAAAGAAGAAACACTTTCATCATCACTCACTTCATCACTGCCTTGCCAGTGACATGCCAATACTACAGTAGAGGCACTGTACTTCCCACCTTCAGGACTCAAGTCCAGCTGACCATTTTCCCTGAATCCCTACATAAATGCTGATCAAAACAGTTTCAAAACATACCTTGTCTCGCTTTAGTCTTCGTAATTCTCTTACTTTCCAGGCTTCATATTCCGCATCATCTGCTTCATCATCTGTATTGATGGCATTCATGGGATCATTGCTGTCTACAGCATTACGCAGGTTAGCTGCCTGCCGATGTTCCTGTTCTATCATACGAAGGGTCTCACGGCGACGTTCTTCTATCCGTTTTCTATTTTCTACTTCTTGCTGAAATATTTTAAAAAATTCATATAATTACCTGAGAATCAAACAAGCTAGAATATAACATACTAAATTAAGGAGAGAAGATGAAAAAAACATTTAAAAAAGGGATACATTACTGCATTAAAATATTAGCAAATCAGAAACAAGCCTATTTACAGTATTTAAAATTAATAAAAAACATTATCATATCATATAAAAGAAAAATTGATAAGTCAAAGAATGGAATGTTTTGATTTTTCAACATACCAAGGCAGGGTGACCCAAAAAAAGAAAACTATAAAGTTATTTTCTTTTTACATTTAGTAATTTATACAGAAGAAGCAGTTACTAGCCTCTTGCTCCTGGCATTTTAGTCCCCTCAGAATGGCATGTATAATATATATATATATTTTTTTAACAAGTCGGCCATCTCCCACTAAGGCAGGGTAACCCAAAAAGAAAATACACCTACCATCCGACTTACGACCGAGTTCGGTTCCGAGAAACCGGTCGTAAGTCGAACTTTACTACTGAATATCAACAAAAAATTTTTGTAATGACTTTATTTATTGTTTTATTTTGGTATTTCAAGTTTTACTTTACTTTTTATGTTGTTAGTACTGTATTTTATACTGTAAGGTTTAGGATAAACACTGTGTACAACACAAATAGTTGTTTATTTCCCAGAAATTTGGCATAAAAAACACGGTCGTAAGTCGAGTGGTCGTAAGTCGAGCAGGTCGTAAGTCGGATGGTAGGTGTACTTTCATCATCATTCAACACTTTCACCTCACTCACACATAATCACTGTTTTTGCAGAGGTGCTCAGAATACAACAGTTTAGAAACGTATACATATAAAGATACACAACATATCCCTCCAAAATGCCAATATCCCAAACCCCTCCTTTAAAGTGCAGGCATTGTACTTCCCATTTCCAGAACTGAAGTCCAGCTATATAAAAACAACTGGTTTCCCTGAATCCCTTCACTAAATGTTACCCTGCTCACACTCCAACAGCTCATCAGGTCCCAAATACCATTCGTCTCCATTCACTCCTATCTATCAATATGAAATTCTCGAGTCTATTTACTAAATAAATCTTCTATAATGATGAATTAAGACTCTCAACAATCCTGAGATGAAGCCCATTAAAATAGCTAGAATGAAAGTAAAGAGAATAATATTTTTCAACAAACCGGCTGTATCCCACTAAGGCAGGGTGACCTAAAAAGAAAAATGAAAGCTTCTCTTTTTAAATTTAGTAATTTATACAGAAGAAGGGGTTACTAGCACTATACTCCTGGTAAGAATAATATTGGGCATTGCTAAAAACAGAGAAAATGACCAAATGAGATATCACTCTGGGCTTTTTAGGACGTGTAGAACTTAGCTTTCCACTATGAATAATTTTCATTACTCCATTAATAGACGGTAAATTGGCAGACAAATAAATTGTGGTAATAGGAAAGATCCTTTCAATTACAGACCTATCTCACTAATGAGTAATACTGTCAAAACACTGAAACAGTTACAGAAATGTAGATTAAACATTCAGAGAGCAATACAGTGAACCCCCGGTTAACAAACTTTTTTCGTTGCAGTAGTATGTTCAGGTGCCAGTACTGACCGAATTTTTTCCCATAAGGAATATTGTGAAGTAGATTAGTCCATTTCAGACCCCCAAACATACACGTACAAACGCACTTACATAAATACACTAACATAATTGGACGCATTTGGAGGTGATCATTATGCGGGGGTCCACTGTACCTTGCTAAGTAGAGGCAGGTCTCACTTTACAGAACTTCACTTTACAGCATTTCGCTAATACAGCGGCTTTCAATTACACCTATTCTTCATTTATTCAGACTTCGTACAATAAATATATTCACCACTCACTATCAGCTAAGATTTAAAATATTTTAAGGTAAGTAATGTATGTATTGTATATGCACCCCCTTGTTTACTGTATATGTATTTTTCAGGCCTAGCTATATTGCTCATGTTATCAGGCTTTTATATGTACACTTACCATCCGACATACGACCGAGTTCGGTTCCGAGAAACCGGTCGTAAGTCAAAATGGACGTAAGCCGAACTTTACTGCTGAATATCATCATCATATTTTTGTAATGACTATTTTATTGTTTTATTTTGGTATTTCATGTTTTACTTTACTTTTTATGTTGTTAGTACTTATTTTATACTGTAAGGTTTAGGATAAACACTGTGTACAACACAAATAGTTGTTTATTTCCCAGAAATTTGGCATAAAAAAACACAATCGTAAGTCGAGTGGTCATAAGTCGAGCAGGTCGTAAGTCGGATGGTAGGTGTATTTGAAAATAAAAAAAAAAGGCTATGATTCCCTTTAAAGTAGTAGCCCAGAACCTAACCTGCTGTATAAACGGGGCCCGCCCTCCTGTACTGTATAATACAATTCGGTATGGTACTTACACTTAAAAGAAACACATACAGCATAATGAACTTTGTTCTTATAGAAACATTTACTAGTAGTACTTTTTTTTTACCACATTTACCATCTCCCTTCAATGTAGAGGAACAACAACAACAAAAAGCTTACCATTATTCATTAAATAAGCATTTTGCCAGAAGTGTGCAGACATCACAATTCATAAACCATGGTACACATGGGGTTAGAACTCATGGCAAGTGAGTCGTAAAACTTCAGGTTAGTGCATAAGCCTCACTTCCCATGAGTTCTAACCCCACCCATATGTGGTTAGTTTGCAATCATGTTATTATGGTTTCGTGGGTCATCACAATTTGTGTGACTTTTCAAGACAATTCTCACTTACCTGCTTTAACTTTACTTGCTGTTGCTCTTTCTGGTGTATTGTGACTCGTTCTTTTTTTCGTACAAATACGGGTTTTAATCTTGGCCCCTCTTCTTCGGAGTCAGTCTCCTCGGAATATTCTGAACTCTCTTCCTCGGATGATTCTTCACTTCCTTCATCTTCTTTACCTAGTAACTGAAAGCCATTTTTATTTCATTAATTACGTAATACCAAAATATTAAATTCTTACATGTGTTCCAGCTTTTAACTATGACCTGAATTACAAATAAACAGTGTAAACAAAACATGTACATCCATAATTTTCCAATACTGCAACGTTGTATTTCAGTATTTTTAAATAGCAGAACTCACCTCTTCCTCTTGCTGAATCTTTTGCAGTGCTAGTTGACGGAGATTGAGACGTCGCAGAGCCAGTTCTTCTTCATCCACCTCACCTTCTGACTCACTGTCAGACTCTGCCAAACGATGGCTTGTTCTCATTTCTGGTCTCATTGTAGGCTCTTTCTGTTCATCCTCTTCTTCCTCCTCTTCCTCTTCTTTTTCTTCCTTTTCTTCCTCACTTACTTCTACAACTTCTGCCTGATGACATGGATAATAGAATGTAATTATCTGAATATTAATGTATTGATATGTATAAGCATTTATAGGATTTATATGAATTCTCATTTAAAAGGGCTCTGAATAACTGTCAGCATCACGACTTTTCTGCTTTGAGGTCATTATTGAGCAAAATTAAGGGTTATTTTTGGGCCACAGTAAACTGGATAACTGAAACCACAGATACAGACTCCCTGGTTACAGGGATTCTACTGTACTTGGTAATGGTGTTTTTCAAGAATCAAGGCAACTGCCTACTGATATGGGTCTTTGTCAAATGATGACCCACTAGCCTACCTAGTGTTGGTGTTTTGTCTGGAAACAAGACAAGTGTCTTCTGGCTCAAGTCTTTGTCAGATGATAATCATTAAGCGGTTAAGCATCTATTGGCCTACTGGAGATAGGTTTCTGCACCACATTTAAAAAACAGATGATTGCTATCTAGTAGTTTCCCAAGATATACTGGTGTGTTACAGTGATGAGTCCTCCTCAGACTTATAGCTATGTAAAGGATATTTTTTTTTACCAAGTAAGCAAATGTAAACTAAAATACCTTTAAGACTAGAGATTCAAATAATAAAATATTACAATAAAGATACAAAAAAAAAATAAAACTTCTGCAATTGGCTTTAATATGCCATTTTCATTTTCTCTTAAGCAAACTCTTGATGTAAAGCTCTAATTGGGAGGAAAGCAAGTAGCCTGTAATGGCAAGTGTGGTGGATAGTGATGAGATAGTTATGGCATGACAGTAACAATAATGGACAATTCTGTAACCAATGAACTTTACTGATCGTTTCTGAATCAACTGACACAGTAGATTTTGTTCCGTATTTCCAAAATCAGTTATGCAGAGGCCCTATATCTCGAAGATTTACTGTACCGAGAGATGAAACAAATACCAATATAAATGGTAGTATGAAACAAAGAATGACTGTCTATAACTAACCCACAATTTGAAGAGAAAACTTTAGATATAATGGTAGAATTACCGACAAAATGTTAGGTAAGAGGAGACATGCAACTATGCGACATTTTATTGTGGCAACATTTCACTCTTCAGGAGCTTTGTTAAGGGAGCAAAACATTGCCACAATAAAATGTCCCATTAGTTGCATCTGTATCCTTTTATCTAACAAAACTTTAGATGACATTTCAGTCTATCCTGTATCATTATTAAGTCACTATTAACAATTGATATCAGTTTTCATTTGATAATGGTCCAGAATGGTCTGAAATGTCATCAGAACTTTTCTCTCCTGATATTAATATCAACAAAAGGGTTGATTATTATATTCATACTGAAGGGCTGAACTCATAGGGGTCACACACAACCTGGGGAAGAGAAGAATAAACAGGTTTGATCCAATGATTTAGGAAGATAGATCCAATTCACTGGATCAAAAACTCTTCACCAGCATCACTGGACCCTCTCTGAAAGGTGCTAAAGGTATGAAAAATGAAAATAATATTCACCTGATGTATAACTCTATCATGAGGTGCATCTGTTTCCATTTCTTCATCACTCTCTTCTTGTAGCTGTTGTTGTTGTTGTTGTTGTTGTTGTTGTTGCTGTTGTTGTTGTTGTAGTTGTTGTTGTTGTTGTTCATGCTGCTGCTGGTTTGCCAAAAGCCGCCGCAACCTGGGGTCTGCCATCTCTGCCTCAGTAAGAGACTTGTGTTGGGGTGGAGATGGAGGAGCAGCTCCTCGTGGTCTGGTGAAATCTTCATCTTCTTCCTCTTCTTCATCTGATGAAGCCGGAGCGTAGTCTGGTCTCTTGCCACTCACATAGCGTTGTACTTTGACTTTCTTCATAGACACTTCACCTGTGCACAACTAAATATGAGTATGCTATGCACTGAATTATAAAAAATACAAAATTACTTGAAATTTCTTATGATCATATAGAGGAAAATAAGAGGAAAGAACTCACATGATAAATTACACACACTCACATGCTTTAATTGAATCATCACTGAAAATAAGGATGAACCCAACATCTGAACTACTGGCAAACTACCATGTCCTAAAACACAATGGTAATAACATGAATATTTGTATTTCATAATATTTCATTTTCTTCCAATTTCAGTTTTTAATTTTTAATATGTAAACAATATGTGATACAGTATTGCTTTAAGGCATTCTTTAAACATTGAAAATGTTGGTCATCCATGCTATTTGTATAAATCCCACTGTATTAACAGTAACTTCTAGATCCTTTTTTAGCAGGCAACTCACAAAATTTTGTCATAAAATACATATATGGTCTGATTTTTCTTTTTCCCATTAAATCCCATCATCCATTTGTTACTCATTTTCTTGAGGTATAATTATCTATTTCATAAACAAGAGCAGCTGCCTCCATGTGGCGAGTTATGGGTATTTTGGTTGACTGGGTAATCAATCATTCAAAATAGCTAAGAGCTGCTCACAGTGTCTATATTTGAACAAAATACACTATATGGGATCAAATCTCATTCCATAGGTACTGTATAATCCATTAGGGTTTTGTGCTTACCAGAAAAAATAATGTCATGGGAATGATGCATTGATGCATTGTAAAAACAGATGACCCACCCTTCCAGAAGGCAGATACAGAAAAACAAGGACAAGGACCCCAAGGGAAATAGGTCACTTGGAATTTTTTAGGTTATCCTAAGTAATTTATGTTATGTATGATAAATGTACTTGTGTGTACTTGTACGTAGATAAATTTACTTAAAAGGTAAGTAGGTAAGTTTATTCAGGTACAAGTACATATAAATACAGCTACATAACTTATCATACATAGCAGCATATGTGTAGAGAACCTAGGATAACCTTAAAAAAAAAGTCAAAGTGACTTATTTGCACTGGGGTCCTTGACACCAGAGTAAGTTAGTTTATTCAGGTATACACAAATACAGTTACATACATTATCATACATAGCAGCATATGTGTAGAGAAAATAGGATAACCCCCAATGAAAGTCAATGTGACTTATTTCCATTGGGAGTCCCCTGCCCCATGACTAACCTTTATCATTCATAATGGGGACGGCTCCTGCTGTAGACTGGATCCCCATCGGCTGAGCCGCCCCTGGGGGAGCTGTCCACGAGGAGTTGTCCATAATGAGGTGAAATATAGAGTGAAGGAGAGAGAGACACACGACGCCTCAGTCTTGACAATGTTTACCTTCTGGGAGCATCGGCATCACATCTTTCCAAACTTTATTAAATATTTGACAGTATATGAACGTTACTATTATTTATAAATAAGAATTATATATCTGCATTATGAATAAGTGTTTATTTAATACCATGAAAAGCCTATAAATGAGGAGGTAATGATAATAATGATTTATAAAATGTTACGCCGATGTCGTTCAACAACAAAAACATCAACAACAGTAGAGGAAGTTTTTACCTCAAGTAAACTTAAGTATAATTTACATATCTAGTTACTACACATTATAACTCGTGCAGTCCTCGGGAAGAGAAGAACCCTCTAAACAAACTGCATGTAACCTCAAGAAGGAGAGGAACTTTACGGAACCTGAAGAAGAGGAAGCAACTTCTAAGCAAACTTTACGTATCCTGAAGGAGAAATTTCAAAGTAATTAAGGTATCCTGAAGGAGGAGGAGGAGGAGGTCCAACACAAGTGACATCACACCATCACTCGTTCAGTCATCCGGATGGTTTAATACTCAGGTATTACAAGAAGCTTAATAGAAATGTCACTGATTTTTTTTTTTTTGGGGGGGGGGGAGGTTATCAGTTAATTTACACTATGTATGATAATTGTACTTATGTACAATGTACTTATGTGCAATTATCACACAAAGACCCCAATGGAAATAAGTCACTTTGACCTTTTTGGGTTATCCTGGTTAATGTATACATATGCTGCTATGTATGATAATTTATGACAAGAAATCGTAATGACACGATTGGTGTAGAAATATACCTAGTTGGATGAATCTTATTTGTGGCTAGCTGGTCCAGTGGCTAACACGACGGTCTGGAGTTTTGAGACTCTCTGATCGCTGGTTCTATCCCCGCCCGTGGTATGGTTTATGATAATTTATGTAACTATTTATCTGGTTTTACCTGAATAAACTTAATTATCTGTACTTGAATAAACTTACTTAGCTACCCAAGATAATCTGGTGGAGGGTTAGCCACCCAGGATAACCTGGGGAGGGTTAGCCACCCAGGATAACCTGGGGAGGGTTAGCCACCCAGGATAACCTGGGGAAGGTTAGCTACCCAGGATAACCTGGTGAGGGTTAGCTACCCAGGATAACCCAGAGGAAGGTTAGCCACCCAGGATAACCCAGGGGAGGGTTAGCCACCCAGGATAGCCCAGGGGAGGGTTAGCCACCCAGGATAACCTGGGGGAGGGTTAGCCACCCAGGATAACCCAGGAGAGGGTTAGCCATCCACGATAACTCAATAAAGTCAGTGTACCATCAAGGGCTACTCTTAATTCCATTGTGGTCCTTGAATTTTGTCTCCCAGGATGCAACCCACACAAGCCAACTAGCACCCTGCTATCTCATTACTACTAGGTGAACAGGGACAGCAGGTGTAAGTTGGCTAACACCCAGGTACAGTACCTATTTATTGCTAAGTGAACAGGGACAGCAGGTGTAAATTGACTAACACCCAGGTACCTAATGATTGCTAAATGAACAGGGACAACAGATATAAGGAAACATGCCCAACATTTCCACCTGGCTGAGGATTGAACCACACACTCAGTGTGAGGTGAGAGCATTGCCACAGCAGGCTCCTTCCCAGAGCCTTCACACATTCCCTTCAGTGTGGCAGCACCTCGAAGTGCTACATCTCACGTTTTGAGAAATCATATGAACTTCACTAATTGTATGTCTTGTAAATTTGGAGAGAAATGTTCTACATAACTAAAGGCTTTCTGTGTGCATAACTACATGTCACTCATCTCTGTATAAACATTGTGTCATGCTAAAGTAAGGAGAGGTCTTAATGTTGCAATTTTATAACTAGTGTAAGCATGCCTCTGGCAAGACAGTGATGGAGTGAATGATGATGAAAGTTTTTCTTTTTCAGGCCACCCTACCTTAGTGGGAAATGGCCAACATGTTAATAAAAAATATTATTAATATTAATTATTATTATTGTTATTATTATTATTATATACAATTTACAAGGCATGGTCTGAGACTGGGCTGTAAGGACAGTGATCCCAAAACAATTAACAGATATTGTGTACACATCTTTTAATGTTTAAGGCTGTACAGTACACCCCACTAAATACAAAGAGCTGTAGTAAATAAACAAAATAAATTTTATATATAGCAATAATTTTAAACAAGTAGTCAGTGCACATCAACTACTGGGGGAGGAGGGCACTAATGTTGCTCAATATATTTTTCATTTATTTGGTAATAGTAGACAAGTGTTCCTTGTTGGATTTTGGGCATTAATTGTTCATCAGCTTGTCAGTAGTGTTGTATACCATTAGTATAATGAAAAACATTGCAAGTTAAGGAATTACAGTATTATATACAGGCTGACCCTGCTTATACAGCAGGTTAGGTTCTGGGATACTGCTGTAAAGTGAAACATAGCCTTTTTTTTTCACTTTCAAATGCATGTAAAAGCCTGATAACATGTTTACACTATCATATATTAAATGAGCAATAGAACCAGGCCTAAAAAATGCATATATGTACAGTACACATATTACTTACCTTAAAATATTTTCATCCTTAGCTTATAGTGAATGGTGAATATATTGTAGGAAGTCTGAATAAATGAAGAATGGGTATAATTGAAAACCTCTGCATTAGTGAAACACCATAAAATGAAGCACTGTAAAGTGGGGCCCACCTGTATCTAGTAGTAAAGAAATACCTTTAACTGTCATCAAGTATAATTAATTTACAATCATTCATGTTCTTACATTTTGCCTTTACTTTACAGGTCATGAAGGTAAAGATTAAATCCTGGACAGGGGTAGCAACTTGGCGTTGGGTTGCAAATGACGACAGCTGTGGAATCTGCCGAATGCCATTTGACGGATGTTGCTCAGACTGCCGGCTACCAGGTGATGATTGCCCTCTGGTGTGGGGTCAGTGCTCCCACTGCTTCCACATCCATTGTATTATGAAGTGGCTTCAGTCACAGCAATTGCACCAGCAGTGTCCAATGTGTCGGCAAGAGTGGAAATTCAAGGAATAAGTACAAAGATTGGCAAGAAGAAAATGCTGAAAAGAACTTAGGAAATGGATTATTAAAAGGTAAAAAAAAATACAAGTTAAAATATTGATATAATAGAGGAAAGTGTAAAATCATTTCAGTAATCATCATCATTTAATCATGGGTCACTCCAAGAGAGAGAGATCATCTTCTGGATCTCCTTTTCGGGAGAAGAAAAGGAAAAGGGAGAAACGAAAGCATAAAGAGAAACACAAGAGAAAGAAATATTTAAAAGAAAAAAAAGAAAAATTGCATAGAAAACATTCTTCAAGAAGTTCATGCTCGTCAAGAAGTTCTAGTTCAGATTCTGAATTTAGATCACGGTATTCTTCAGAACATAAAAACAAAGACAGTAAAAAGACTAAAAGGCAGGTATACGAAAGAAGATCAAATTCCTCTGACCGACCAAAATCTAAGTCTCCGCTAAGACTGAATACTGAGAGTGGAGCAATGTCTGCTGATCAGTCTGAATCCAAATCTCCACGTGGGCAGAGTGTAAGAGGTGGAGAAAGTTCTTGTTATCATTCACAGTCCAGATCCCCTAAACATCTTGTCAGACAAAGATCAAGATCTCCATCTCCTTGTCAGACTTACCTTGGTAAGGATATACTAAGGACAGAGACAGAAATCTTTAAAAGTGAGTTTGAGATGCCTAAATCAGCCCTGCATCTTTCAACTCTTAATAGTGAAGCTTATTCACAGCCATCCATTGTACCTCAAGATAGAAACTTGGACAGTGACAGCATGTAGATTCGGAAGATGAACTTATGTTTGACTGGGAGAACCATCGCTCTGAACTTAATCAAATGTTTTTTCGAGATGAAGATGTTATTAAAAGGGGGAGTGAGGAATATTTTGATTTCTGGAAGTTTCTTAAAAAGTACCATGGATTGCAAAAACAGAAGAAGATTCGGGAAATGTGCAGTAGTAAACCCAGTAGAGGCAGTAGTGAAGGGCGAAGTGTGAGTTTACTTTATCAGTTGCCACTTCAATATGACAAAAGATACAACATTAACTTTGCCCTCAATTTTAAGGATATTGATGATTTGCAAAGAAGGTTACCACCACAAGATTTAGAAGATGGCAAAAAGCGACTCTCCAGGAAGAAGCTTGTTGAAATTAAATTCATTATTTTACTGTATCTTGATTTCATGCAAAAGCAAAGATTTGAAAAGCTGAAAAAACTACGGAGTTCACAGGCTAACCTTCCCATTGCAGAACACAAGGAAGAGATCATTTCTACAGTTAAAAAAAATAATGTTGTGATAATTGCAGGTGACACTGGATGTGGTAAATCTACACAGGTTCCTCAGTACCTGCTCTCAGCGGGATTTTTGAACATAGCTTGTACACAGCCGCGACGCATTGCCTGCATATCCTTATCCAAGCGTGTTGCCTATGAAACCCTAAATGAATTTGGCTCAAAAGTCGGTTACCAAATTCGATTTGAGAAAAATAAAACTGAACATACAAGGATAGTTTTTTTAACAGAAGGACTTCTTCTGAGACAAGTGTCTGTATGTAGCTCACTTTCTATGTATGATGTTATAATTCTTGATGAAATTCATGAACGTCACCTTGATACAGATTTTCTCCTAGGGGTCATGAAATGTTTGTTAATGCAGCGGAATGATGTTAAAGTTGTGTTAATGAGTGCTACCATAAATATCGACCTCTTCCATAATTATTTCATGGGCAAAGCTCCTGTGATTCAAGTACCAGGTAGATTGTACCCAATTAAACTGCAGTATTTTCCAATTCCAACTATCGAGCAAGCCAGTAAAAGAGAGAAAATTAATCCTGCACCATATGTTCGAATTCTTCAGTTGATAGATAACAAATATCCAGATAATGAAAGAGGCGACTTGCTGATCTTTCTGAGTGGTATGAGTGAGATATCAACAGTTGTAGAAGCAGCCAAGATTTACGCTTCGCAAACAAACAGATGGATTGTCCTGTCTCTGCACAGTACCCTCTCTGTTTCTGAACAAGAAAAGGTTTTTGATGTTCCACCAGAGGGTGTACGGAAATGCATCGTTTCTACGAACATCGCTGAAACATCAGTGACTATTGATGGTGTTCGATTTGTTGTTGACTCTGGGAAAGTAAAGGAAATGAGTTATGATTCTCAGTCTAAGATGAGGAAATTGAAAGAGTTTTGGATAAGTCAGGCTTCAGCAGAACAAAGAAAAGGAAGAGCTGGTCGCACTGGTCCAGGAACTTGTTTTCGTTTATACTCTGAACAGGAGTATTCTTCTTTTTCCCAGTACAGTACTCCTGAGATAAAGCGAGTGCCTCTAGATTCTCTCATCCTTCAAATGATTTCCATGGGGCTACCAAATATCAGACTCTTCCCATTTATTGAGCCTCCAACCATAGAAAGTTTAGAGAATTCCTTATGTGCTCTAAAATCTCAGGCAGCAGTTACAGACGCAGAAGAATTGACTACCATTGGCAAACTTCTGTCACAGCTGCCCATGGACGTGAGCCTGGGCAAGATGCTGATCATGGGTTCCCTCTTTCATCAGGTGAGTTTTATTGCATTGCTGTTTTGATATTACATGAAAGTATGTATGTTCTTAACTTTTTTTTTTTAACATGCTAGCCGTCTCCCACTGAGGCAGAGTAACCCAAAAAAAGAAACACTTTCATCATTCACACTATCACTGACTTGTCAGAGGCGCACTGATGCGACAGTTCAGATGCCCTTCCAAACAGCACATATTCCAAAAGAGTGCAGGCACTGTACTTCCCACCTCAAAGACTCAAGCCTGGCTAGCCAGTATTCCCTGAATCCCTTCACAAAATACATTACCTTTGATATTATGCAGGGCATTGTAGCTCATTACACTTGCTCATAGCATATTAATGCTGTATTAATTCCTTATCCTAGTTTGTATGTATAGTAAAATGTAGCATGTGATTCCAATTTTCATCCTCCAGAAATTTTGTGTGCTTATCACTTGTTTATACTAGCGATGGTAATGATTCACATTTTTTCTTCTCAGGTTGAACCAGTGCTATCACTCTCGGCAGCCATGAGTGTACAGAGTCCTTTCACAAATCGAGCTCATCGAGATCCTGAATGTGTGGCTTCGATCAAGAGCCTTGAATCTGATCATGGAGACCCCTTTACACTTCTTGCTTCTTACAGGTAGGAACACATGTCAGAGCTTGCAGAAACTGTTTTTGTTAAACAAGTGTTCCTTGTTTTATGCTGTAGAAGCATTCCAGGTACATAGCAGCTGTACCAAGATCAGTCAGTCCATCAACAAATATTTGTTCATAACAGGAATTATTAGTATGCCTTTCAAACCGCTGCAGTCGGAGTCATCAGTTTTTTTTTTTTTCAATGAACCAACCATATGCCACCAAGGCAGGGTGACCTGAAAAGGAAACCAAAAGTTTTTCTTCATAAATTTAGTTATTTATACAGAAGGGGTTTCTAGCCCCTTGCTCCCAGCATTGTAGTCACCTCTTATGACATGCATGGCTTATGGAGGAAGAATTCTTTTCCGCTTCTGCATGGAGAATCTAAAATGTATACATCATATACGGAATTACCGAGAGAAATAAGACATAGCATATTTGCTAATTTGCGTGAAGCAAATCCACGAGAAAATTTTTTTTTTTTAAAACACATTTGCCATTTCCCACCAAGGCAGGGTAACCCAAAAATAAAGAAAAGACCTCCCTCCCCATTCAACACTTTCACCATCACTCATACATAATCACTGTCTTTGCAGAGGTGCCCAGATACAACAGTTTAGATGCCCCTCCAAACTGCCAATATCCCAAACCTCTCCTTTAAAATGCAGGCATTGTACTTCCCATTTCCAGGACTCAAGTCTAACTAACTGGCTTCCCTGAATCCCTTCACAAAACATTACCCTGCTCACACACTATCAGCTTATCAGGTCCCAAAAACCATTCGTCTCCATTCACTCCTATCTAACATGCTCATGCACGCTTGCTTAAAGTCCAAGCCCCTCGCCCACAAAACCTCCTTTACCCTCTCCCTCTAACCTTTTTGGGGCCGACCCCTACCCTGTCTTCCTTCCTCTACACATTTATGTGCTCTCCAAGTCATTCTACTTTGCTCCATTCTCTCTAAATGACCAAACCATCTCAACTAATTATAAGGGATAATAAGAAAAAATAAGGAATAAATATTTGTACGGGCATTTCTTGATTGTTGGGCCTTTTTAATGTTGAGGGACTTCAGTGGCAGATTTTATGGGTAGAAGTTGCTTGTGAGAATTAATGCAACGAGTAAAGCCAGTAATGTTATTTATTCAGTTGATTGAGTTCACTTATAAGAATTAGTAGAATTAGTTGTAGACCTGGGAAACACTTCCCAGGTCTTGAACTACACTGTTTAATATCTTGACTTCTCACTGCACTTGGGAAAGAGTTAGGGCTATCTGATTTGTTACTTGAGAATGACAGAGTTCTCTGTCTCAAGGCAATCTTAGTTTCCATGCATTGATTAAGCTATGTAAAGGCTCAGAGTAGGCCTAAAAATGTACCCCATTTAGGGTAGAAGAATATTGAAGGGTTAAGAGGGCACTTGAAATTCCCAGGACTACCAGACTAGTTTACTAGGCAGCCATAGATGGCATTGTGTGTAGTGAACGCTCGCTTATATTGTTTACTTTGTAGTTGTTGGTGGTGATTCCTTGATTTTGTGCAATTCTTAGCTTATTTTGTTTATGTTTAACCCCAACTAGGGCATCTAAGAGAGAAGTGTCAGTTGTGTAGCTGCAAGACACATTAATTGTATTGTCAGCTGAATTAATCAGAGGGCTAATGAATCTTGATTTTATGCATGAAATATTTCACAGGGAAAGATCAAAGCAAATGAAACAACTTCATCTGGATGAAATGCTTAAAACAGATTAGCTTTACACTTCCAGTATAATTGTAAAATGAATTAACTGAGAGCAGTGCCCATTCTTTTTATGGAAACCTATAAGGGACTCTCAAATCTTAAGATGTGCTCTCAATAAATTTGCAATAAATTTGCCTTTGGTTTAAGTGGACTTGTTAAAGCCCACTCAATAACAATAATGATAAATTTATTTCAGCATGATACAATGTTTGTACAAAGGAGAATAACATTTGGGCATATATGCCAAAAGCCCTTTGTACACAGAGTATTTTGGGCAAACTTGAGATTGATAAGGCAATAACCATACAGGGGACCCTCAGTTATCGGCCATAATCCGTTCCAGAAGGTCGGCCTAAAACCGAAATAATATTTCCCATACGAATTAATGTAATTACAATTAATCCATTCCATACACCCAAAAATATTAACAAAAAATACACTTTTTAAAGATTAATTATAGTTTTACATACACAAAACAATGAGAACTAAATAAAATAAATAAATGAACATTTAAATCACTATTACATACCTTTATTGAAGACTTGTTGGCTTATGGAAGACAGGGAGGAGGAGAGAGGGAGGACTGATTATTGTTTGGAAGGGGAATCCCCCTCCATAAGGACTTCAGGTATCAAAGCCCTCTCTGGGGTTACTTCCCTCCCTGCCTGCCTGCTACACTCCCTGCATGCCTGCTACACTCCCTGCCTTCCTCCTACACTCCCTGCCTGCCTGCTACACTTCCTGCCTTCCTCCTAGACTCCCTCCCTCCATGCTACATTCCGTCCCTCCATGCTACACTCCCTGCCTGCCTGATACACTCCCTGCTACACTCTCTGCCTGCCTGCTATACTCCCTGCCTGCCTGCTACACTCCCTCCCTCCATGCTACACTCCCTTCCTCCCTTCCACACTCCCTGTTTCCCTGCTACACTCCCTGCCTCCCTTCCACACTCCCTGTTTCCCTGCTACACTCCCTGCCTCCCTTCCACACTCCCTGTTTCCCTGCTACACTCCCTGCCTCCCTTCCACACTCCCTGTTTCCCTGCTACACTCCCTGCCTCCCTTCCACAGCATGTGTAAAGAACCTAGGATAACCCAAGTCAGAGTGACTTATTTCCATTGGGGTCCTGCCTCCCTGCTATACTCCCTGCCTGCCTACTACACTCTCTGCTAAACTCCCTTTCACAACGTTAGCTTCCTTGATGTTTGGTTGAATGAGCAGAAGTGTCCTCACTCACCTAGAGACACAGCCAGACTGACTCACAAATGAGTGAGTGGCTGGCGGGCAGACGGGTTGACGCGTCCCATACGGCCGAAAACCAGAAGCTGAAAAACCGACTGATAACCGAGTTGGCCGATAAGCAGAATGGCCGATAACCAAGGGTCCACTGTACAGTGGACCCTCGACCAATGATGGCATCATCTAACGTTAAATCCGACTAGCGATACATTTTAACGCAAAAATTTTGCCTCGACTAGCACTAAAAAAACTTGACCAACACGATTCGTTCCGTTTGAGACGCGTCCACTTGTGGCCAGTGTTTACAAGCCAGCCAGCTACCGCGGTCCCATCCAAACATACAATCGGAACATTTCATATTATCACAGCGTTTTTAGTGATTGCACCTGCAAAATAAGTCACCATGGTCCCCAAGAAAGCTTCTAGTGCCAACCCTACAGCAAAAAGGGTGAGAATTACTATGGATATGAAGAAAGAGATCATTGCTAAGTACGAAAGTGGAGTGCGTGTCTTCGAGCTGGCCAGGTTGTACACAAAACCCCAATCAACCATCGCTACTATTGTGGCCAAGAAAATGGCAATCAAGGAAGCTGTTCTTGCCAAAGGTGCAACTATGTTTTCGAAACTGAGATCGCAAGTGGTAGAAGATGTTGAGACTGTTATTGGTGTGGATAAATGAAAAACAGATAGCAGGAGATAGCATCTCTCAAGCGATCATATGTGAAAAGGCTAGGAAGTTGCATGACGATTTAATTAGAAAAATGCCTGCAACTATTGATGATGTGAGTGAATTTAAGGCCAGCAAAGGTTGGTTTGAGAGATTTAAGAATTGTAGTGGCATACATAGTGTGATAAGGCATGGTGAGGCTGCCAGTTCGGACCAAAAAGCAGCTGAAAAATATGTTCAGGAATTCATGGAGTACATAGACAGTGAAGAATTGAAACCTGAACAAGTGTTTAATTGTGACACTGACAATGTTGTGAAACACTTTAGGAATGTCATAAAGGAATGGGAGGTACAGGCCTCTATGGACAGATATGTTGTGCGACAGAGGTCAAGTGACTCTCAAGCTGGTCCTAGTGGCATTAAAAGAGGGAAGTAGCCCTGGAAAAGGACTTGACACCTCAAGTGCTAATGGAAGGGGATTCCCCTTCTAAACACTAACACCATCCATTCACTCCCCTCCTCCCATCCCATCAATCATCACCAGATCTTCAATAAAGGTAAGTGTCATGTAATTGTACATGTCTTCTTCAGTTTGTGTGTATTAAAATTAATATTTCATGTGGTAAAATTTTATTTTTTTTCAATACTTTTGGGTGTCTTGCACGGATTAATTTGATTTCCATTATTTATGGGGAAAATTAACTCGACTAACGATAATTTCGATTAACGATGAGCTCTCAGGAATGGATTAATATCGTTGGTTGAGGGTCCACTGTATTAATAATTTTGTACATAGTCACTTAGATGAGTGTAATTATAAATTGAGGAGTTTACAATGAATACAATGACTTGAGAATGGTCCAGTACAGACCGAAATATCATCATAAGCTTTCCCTCTCTTCTGTGCAGGCTATTTGTGTAAGTGGACTTGTTAATTAGATTATCATTTGCTGAACACCTGTACCAGACACACTAAACATTCTATTTTCAATGTGAATCCACTTTTTCAGATAAAATATTTATATTTTTTTAGGGAATGGTTATCTGTCAAGCATGAAGGTCATGAAAACTCTCGCAAGTGGTGTAGAAGACGTGGATTAGAGGAACAACGCTTCTATGAAATGACCAAATTGCGGCATCAATTTGCTCAACTTCTACATGATTCAGGGCTACAAGATATTGCTGGCTGTTCTCGTGCTCATTTAACAAGTGCAGAGCGAGCTCAGAGGAGTGGACAGTTGAGACAACTTCGTGAACTGAAGAGGGAATTACACAAAGAGAGACCCCGGAAAACCAAGGTCCTCAAAGTGTTCCAAGGAGAAAGTGTTCCAAGTGATGATGAGGATGTTCGAACTGACATTAAAGATGTAGACTTTAGGATAAAAAATGATCAGAAGCAGTTGCAGGACATATACCAAAGTTCTACTGTGCAATCTTATAAGGATATGATAATGCTGAAGATCATCCTTTGTAGCGGACTTTACCCAAATGTGGCAATTGCTGATGAACATAACAATTACAAACCTGGGTCAGAACAGCTCTTTCACACATCCTCAAAGCCATTTGCAGCTCTTCACCCAAACAGTGTGTTTGCAAGCCACCCAGAGGTTCTCCAGGTTGTAGACTCAGACATAATAGAGCTGCCAGGATTCACAGCAAGACATCCCGCTAGCACTAAGCACCAGCTACTGGCTTATGTATCTTTACTGGAGACTAACAAGCCATACCTTGTTGATACCTTAAGGGTTCCTGCTGCTCAAGTGTTGCTTCTGTTTGGTCACAACTTAGACAGTAATGCTGATCTAACTGTAATAGCATGTGATAACTTTATTGAGCTTAAATTTCCAGATGCTATGTCAGCTCAAAACCTTGTGTTTCAAGCAGTACAACTTCGTCTCAAGTGGAAACATTTACTTGACCTCAGAATTCGGGCCACTACACCTTCAATTGAAAACCAAGACAGACTCATAACAGAGGCAAATAGATTAGAAAAGGATCTCATGGTGGGTCTAGTTGACTTTTTCTTAACAGAAACAATTTACTCAAAACGTCGCCTTCTTGCTGCGGATATCAAAGTTCTCCACAAAGGTCCGGGACCAGGTGATTGTATCTTAAGTGAAAATCCATTCAGTGACTGTGGTGGGGAGCCATGTCGGTTCAATGATATTAAAGGTGGAGTTGACTTGACAGATTTTTTCACTTACAATTGCCTGCTTGATACCGAATGTACTGTTACCACCATCACCACTTATGATACTGTGTGTCCATATTGTGACCAGGAGTTCCACCTAACTACCCTTGATCGTCTTGCACACATGGCACAGTGTTTAAAACATACCATGCAGTCCTCAACAGCAGCAGATGACAAGGTTGAAGATGGGAGTGATGGAGATCCCACAAAGAAAAAGTATGTATGTGATATTTGCAATAGGACTATATGGTTGAGTATTAAGGATATTTTTAGGCACAAAAAATCACACATGGCTTGATATATACAGGCTTTGTGATATGATAGTCAAATTCTGTTATTCCAAGCCCAGTTAAATAAAAAGTTTGATATCCAAAATATTTCAAAATAGATAAGCTGATATTTCCTGTTTTTAGCTTAACCCATAAAAAAAAAAAAAAAATCTAATTTAAATATGGAACAACATATTTTATTTGGATAAGATATCCAGGAATTGTAAGTTCTGTACCCAATAAATATTTTTTTACATTATCTTATTGTATTTAAACTATGGGCTTGTTGAGTGATACTGATTTATGGTGTAAAAAATTGTTTGTTACTAGATAATACTTGCAGAAGATTGCAGCTGCTGTAATACAATAAATACATCTACCATGCTTGAGGGTTGAATTTGATAGTGAATTATTCTATCCATTACCATATTTAAATTAAATAAATGATCTTAACCAAACAAACTGGAAGAGAAAATGTACAGCTGGAAGAGAGAATACTCTGTCATTATTAGCCAGCTACTGATGACTCTTGTTGCTAATTTCACAAAGTACAGCAAAATGTAACATTTCCCTGTGCTATAAGGCTGAATGTTATATTGAATTAACAATTTCCATGTAATCCTCCATCTCATATTACTGTGGCATGATATTTAAATAAATGAACTGTATCTAAACAGTTAGAAATACTCTGACCTAAGGCTTACTTCAATATTGTATCTCACCCTACAGTGCACATCACAGTACAGTATTTACACATTCCCATGATTTTTACAATGAAATGTGTACCATAGTTATAATTTTACAATATGTAGCTCTGTGGTGACTGACAGGAAGTGTAATAATGAGTGAGAATGCGAGAGATTGCCATGGAACAAACTGTTAAGTAGCATCATCGAGTGAGCACTTTGGATAGTTTTAAAATTAAGTTAAGATACATTGAGTGGGAGTGGTTAACTGTTCATAGGACTTACCCCCTTCCTCCTCAAGGGAGGTTCCTTGATACTGGTGAGGTGCTCTTGATCTAAGGAATTGGAACTGATTTAATTTTCCTTGGATCAAACCTGAATGCCTCTGGGTACTGTATGAACCTTAAAGGCTTAGCACTTTTTCTGTAAATGTAATAATAATGTTGGACCTGTCTAGCATGGGGTCAGTAGGCCTACTGCAGTGCTCCTCTAGTCTTGTTCCATGACTCACCAGTGAATCAGGAAACAAGACCAGAGTATCATACATTAGGCTGTAATTACCTACTACTATGACATCTAAAATGATATACAGATGGGCCCCATTTATATAGCAGGTTAGGTTCTGGGCTACTGCTGTAAAGTGAAATATAGCATTTTCTCACTTAAAAATACATATAAAAACCTTACAACATGTTTACACCATCTATATTAAGTGAGAAATAGAACTAGGCCTAAAAAATGCATATATGGTACCCAGTACGGATAAAACAACAAAAAAGACGTCTTGAAAAATATCCTTCAAGGAAACTGACTAGATTCTAATGAAAGGCCTTTAAGCCACAGAATTGGTGGTAACTTCACTTTCCTTGAATCAAACTTGATTACTTCTCATTTGCTAGGCACCGTATGACCCTTGTGGATTTAGTGCTTCTTTACAAGCATGGTAATACAGTAACATCCATTTAGTTATCATTCCCTTTTAATGGGGAATGGATAGGTGATGGTGGTGAAAGATTCTGCATCTAAGGAATCAGAGTTATCCTCCCCTTCCATGGATCAAACCTGAATGCCTCCCATTTTCCAGGTGCTATATGCCCACAATATATTTAGCACTTTCCCCTCATAACATAAACAGTACAGCACAGTATTGTCCTTGACAGCTGACTTGCTGGGGGAAAAATGGGTATATTTACATATTTTTTTTTTTTTTTTTTTTTCAACAAGTCGGCCGTCTCCCACCGAGGCAGGGTGACCCAAAAAAGAAAGAAAATCCCCAAAAAGAAAAATACTTTCATCATCATTCAACACTTTCACCACACGCACATTATCACTGTTTTTGCAGAGGTGCTCAGAATACAACAGTCTAGAAGCATACACATATAAAGATACACAACATATCCCTCCAAACTGCCAATATCCCAAACCCCTCCTTTAAAGTGCATGCATTGTACTTCCCATTTCCAGGACTCAAGTCCGACTATATGAAAATAACCGGTTTCCCTGAATCCCTTCACTAAATATTACCCTGCTCACACTCCAACAGATCGTCAGGTCCCAAGTACCATTCGTCTCCATTCACTCCTATCTAACACGCTCACGCACGCCTGCTGGAAGTCCAAGCCCCTTACCCACAAAACCTCCTTTACCCCCTCTCTCCAACCCTTTCGAGGACGACCCCTACCCCGCCTTCCTTCCCCTATAGATTTATATGCTTTCCATGTCATTCTACTTTGATCCATTCTCTCTAAATGACCAAACCACCTCAACAACCCCTCTTCTGCCCTCTGACTAATACTTTTATTAACTCCACACCTTCTCCTAATTTCCACACTCCGAATTTTCTGCATAATATTTACACCACACATTGCCCTTAAACAGGACATCTCCACTGCCTCCAACCGTCTCCTCGCTGCTGCATTTACCCCCCAAGCTTCACACCCATATAAGAGTGTTGGTACTACTATACTTTCATACATTCCCTTCTTTGCCTCCATAGATAACGTTTTTTGACTCCACATATACCTCAACGCACCCCTCACCTTTTTTCCCTCATCAATTCTATGATTAACCTCATCCTTCATAAATCCATCCGCCGACACGTCAACTCCCAAGTATCTGAAAACATTCACTTCTTCCATACTCCTCCCCAATTTGATATCCAATTTTTCTTTATCTAAATCATTTGACACCCTCATCACCTTACTTTTTTCTATGTTCACTTTCAACTTTCTACCTTTACACACATTCCCAAACTATCCACTAACCTTTGCAATTTTTCTTTAGAATCTCCCATAAGCACAGTATCATCAGCAAAAAGTAACTGTGTCAATTCCCATTTTGAATTTGATTCCCCATAATTTAATCCCACCCCTCTCCCAAACACCCTAGCATTTACTTCCTTAACAACCCCATCTATAAATATATTAAACAACCATGGTGACATTACACATCCCTGTCTAAGACCTACTTTTACCGGGAAATAGTCTCCCTCTCTTCTACACACCCTAACCTGAGCCTCACTATCTTCATAAAAATCTTTTACAGCATTTAATAACTTACCACCTATTCCATATACTTGCAACATCTGCCACATTGCTCCTCTATCCACTCTATCATATGCCTTTTCTAAATCCATAAATGCAATAAAAACTTCCCTACCTTTATCTAAATACTGTTCACATATATGCTTCAATGTAAACACTTGATCTACACATCCCCTACCCACTCTGAAACCTCCTTGCTCATCCGCAATCCTACATTCTGTCTTACCTATACATATTGTATTTCTTTATATAAACTTGTAATATAGAACATTTGTGTACAGGTATTTTTATAAATTGAAATATTATATTGTAATCTGGCAACCATTAGGGATAGCATGCCATTTTTTTTTTTTTAAACAAGGAGGTAAAATGTAGGACTGTGTTAATTGATTTTGTAGGAAATATATACTCTAAACTATGCTTAATGGTGGGCTTAATGATTTCACGGATAGTGTGAAAGAGTTAGTTCTCTCACATGTGCAACATCTGGGTATCTTTATTGCAGATGTTTCTCCATCAAGTGGCTTTATCAATACAGATTCAGGGATTAAATCTGGAGTGGGATTAAATCTGGAATATCTGAGAGAGTTAGAGCTAAGGGAGGGATAGCAATAATGTTGAAGGATCAGTTATGGAAGGAGAAAAGAGAATATGAATGTGTAAATTCAAGGATTATGTGGATTAAAGTAAAGGTTGGATGCGAAAAGTGGGTCGTAATAAGCGTGTATGCACCTGGAGAAGAGAGGAATATAGAGGAGAGAGAGATTTTGGGAGATGTTAAGTGAATGTATAGGAACCTTTGAACCAAGTGAGAGAGTAATTGTGGTAGGGGACCTGAATGCTAAAGTAGGAGAAACTTTTAGAGAGGGTGTGGTAGGTAAGTTTGGGGTGACAGGTGTAAATGATAATGGGAGCCCTTTGATTGAACTTTGTATAGAAAGGGGTTTAGTTGTAGGTAATACATATTTTAAGAAAAAGAGGATAAATAAGTATACAATATATGATGTAGGGCGAAATGACAGTAGTTTGTTGGATTATGTATTGGTAGATAAAAGACTGTTGAGTAGACTTCAGGATGTACATGTTTATAGAGGGGCCACAGATATATCAGATCACTTTCTAGTTGTAGCTACACTGAGAGTAAAAGGTAGATGGGATACAAGGAGAATAGAAGCATCAGGTAAGAGAGAGGTGAAGTTTTATAAACTAAAAGAGGAGGCAGTTAGGGTAAGATATAAACAACTATTGGAGGATAGATGGGCTAATGAGAGCATAGGCAATGGGGTCGAAGAGGTATGGGGTAGGTTTAAAAATGTAGTGTTAGAGTGTTCAGCAGAAGTTTGTGGTTACAGGGAAGTGGGTGCGGGAGGGATGAGGAGCAATTGGTGGAATGATGATGTAAAGAGAGTAGTAAGGGAGAAAAAGTTAGCATATGAGAAGTTTTTACAAAGTAGAAGTGATGCAAGGAGGGAAGAGTATATGGAGAAAAAGAGAGAGGTTAAGAGAGTGGTGAAGCAATGTAAAAAGAGAGCAAATGAGAGAGTGGGTGAGATGTTATCAACAAATTTTGTTGAAAATAAGAAAAAGTTTTGGAGTGAGATTAACAAGTTAAGGAAGCCTTGAGAACAAATGGATTTTTCAGTTAAAAATAGGAGAGGAGAGTTAGAGGTATTGGGAAGATGGAAGGAATATTTTGAGGAATTATTAAATGTTGATGAAGATAGGGAAGCTGTGATTTCGTGTATAGGGCAAGGAGGAATAACATCTTGTAGGAGTGAGGAAGAGCCAGTTGTGAGTGTGGGGGAGGTTCGTGAGGCAGTAGGTAAAATGAAAGGGGGTAAGGCAGCTGGGATTGATGGGATAAAGATAGAAATGTTAAAAGCAGGTGGGGATATAGTTTTGGAGTGGTTGGTGCTATTATTTAGTAAATGTATGGAAGAGGGTAAGGTACCTAGAGATTGGCAGAGAGCATGCATAGTTCCTTTGTATAAAGGCGAAGGGGACAAAAGAGAGTGCAAAAATTATAGGGGGATAAGTCTGTTGAGTATACCTGGTAAAGTGTATGCAGAGTTATTATTGAAAGAATTAAGAGTAAGACGGAGAATAGGATAGCAGATGAACAAGGAGGCTTGAGGAAAGGTAGGGGGTGTGTGGA